TTAAGATGAGGATTAAAATGGTTGTGTGGCCTCCCTGGTGGTGCAAGGGGTTAAGACACAGCACTATGAAGCTATCGGCAGCCACTGCAGCCCGAGTTCTAACCCCGGCCAGGGAGCTGACCCACATGGCACAGCAGACCTCTCCTGTCTCCCGCTGCTCCCCTCAGCAGTGTGTCTCAGTAGATCGGCCTCTCCACTCTGTCTCTGGTGAATCCTCTCACCCACCCCCTCTGGCCTGTACCAGAGTTCTTGTATGCATAAATAAATAAATAAATAAATAACTCTTTAATAAAATAAAATAAAATGGTTTTGGCCTTAAAAGTTTGGCTTCTTTTTCCATTTAAGTGACAGTCATATCACATAAAAGAAACGATTTCAATGTGGACAGTTCAGCAGCACTTAGTGCATTGTGCAGCCTCTACCGCTGTGGAGTTCCAAGACATTTTCTTCACTAGAGGGGTTGTTTTGGGGGAGTCGCTGCTGAATGCACGTTTTCAAAGACTTAGAAGGGTGCCGGGTACAGCAAGTGCCACAGGAACTGGGGAAGTGGCAGGAATAATGAGTAGAACAGAGCTCATAATAGGTAGCACATGGTAGGTGGTGTTATTATTAATTCGCTTCCCTTGGGCTGGAGGAGGAGGATGCTGGGAGTGAGAACTCCCCTCTGGGCCCCATTTTCCACTTCCAGTTCCCTGAACCCACCCAGCTTTTGTCCTCCTCCCCCCACCCAGCTGTGGGGAGGGTGCGGGGGAGGCCCTGATGGTAGCCAGGAAGCCTGGCGCCTCCCCAGCAGTCTCCGGGCCTCTCCTCTGCTCCCCTTGGTTCTTCTTGGCCCTGCTCCTGCCTCTCCCACGCTGGCTCCTGCTCCCCCAAGCTGTCACCTTCTGTGGCAAAGGAGGCACATGTGGGGCTGGGGTGGCCGGGAGTGTCGGCCTGGTGCCCGAGAGTGGATGGTCCCAGACGAGTGAACCCCCTCCCACTTTTGCCTCTCAGGGCCAACTTTCACTTTGAGCTGTCGGAGCCCCAAGGCTTGAGGAGGACCCCCAAGATCTGCCAGACTTACCCACTTAGAAGGCTCCCATTCTGGGCGCCTGTTAAACAGGCAGATGCCCTGCCAGAGCCATTGTGGGTCTGCTAGACTTAAGTGGCCTGTTCAGCCACCAGTTTGGTTACCCGCAGTTCTGCATCCTATACGAGATCTGCCCTTCAGAACCGGTCAGTCAGCCATAGGAGCCAAACCTTACAAGGCGCCTTTCATACCCATCAAGAGCAGAAAGCTGGATCCCCCTGGGAAGGGTGTGCATCAAGAGGTTTGCCTGGGAACGCCCGGGGGGGCTGAGGACAGGTGCATAAACTTACTCCCCACTCATACATCACGAGTATGACCGGGAACGCCCGGGGGGCCGAGGACCAAGGTATGACAAGGGACCCCAGAAGCTGATCAGTGGACGCCTTGTTGATAAGATTAGGACCGTGGCGGGGGGTCTGGGGTCTAGTCTCGATTACAGCATTCGGTCACCAAGTGGGTAACAAGGTCAGCAGACTCCTGTCCCCTCAAGCCCAAGATGACATTCCTGAGTGTCCCCCATCCCTTTCTCCTTGTCCTCCTAACGCACGTAGCTGATGCTCTGTGATTAGTCTGTCAATAAAAACGGGCAGGATCTTGCTCTCAGCAGCATCCCGCATCATGTAGCCTGCTCCACGACGCCCTGTCTTTGTCCGTGCGGTGTTGCCCGACGCAACAAGCCATAAGCTCTTCTGAGCGGCGCCTGGGCTCACACTAACACCCACCTGCCAGGGGCAGCCTTGGGAGCTACAAGGCTTGCGACACATCCTTCCTGGTGTGGACATCACCCCCGAGGTCATTTTGTGCCTTTCCTGCTGCAGCGACAGCTAACTGTGTGAACGTGCTCTGTGCACTGTGCATCCTGCTCCTGGATGCCGGGGAGGGGCATGGAAGGTGCAGAGAGAGGTCCCCGGATCCCATCTGCCCACAACTCCCCTGTGGGGGGCGGGGGGGGGGGCGGACCAAGGCCTGTCATTTGCTGCCACCTGGTGGCAGGGATGGGAACTTTGCACCCCATTTCCATCAGGTAAAAGCACTGAGCACCTGCTGGGTGCCGGGTGTGAGTCCACAGGAAGACCCTGTCAGCATGGGGCAGATGAGCAGCACAGACAGGCTCCCTCCCGCTCGAAGCCCACAGTCTCCCGGGAGAGACAGTCAATGAGGCACAAGAGCAGAAAATGCACCAATGAAGATGACTGCGCTGTGCTGGAAGGAAAGGGCCGGGATGACATATTTGAATAACGGAGCAGCGTCTGTCTCCCTGCACACCCACTCCTTGCCCAGGCCTGTGAGTCACTCGGGGTGGGCGCTGCTGCCGGATTCCCACTTGGGAATGGGTGAAGTCACCCGGTGCTGGCACATAGTAGGTGCTCAGTAAGTGTCCCGTGAATGGGCACACAAATGCAAGCCTGCTCAAAGACAACTTCTTAGCACTTCCAGGTGGAACAGATGCGGAGTTGGAAAGTGGGTGCTTATGGAAGGGAGGCTGGGTCCCCCAGGATCCTGGGAGGACCGGAAGGATTTGGGAGTCAGCTGAAATGGAGCTGATGGGCAAATGTCACTCTCCCGGGGAGGCCCTCCCCACCCTGTTTTCTATTGTACCCTCACTGCCTGCCCTGGCCTCGAACTCCTCCCCTGCTCATTTCTCCCTCGCAGCTTTTGCCCTCTCGCACATGGCATGTTTGCCTTATTTAATGTCTCTTCATTAACGTAAAGTCCACCAGGGCAAGGATTTTTTATTTTTTTAATTTTCCAGTATCTTTTTGGATTTTTTTTAGATTTATTTATTTATGCATACAAGAACTGGGGCACAGGCCAGTGGTGTTGGGGTGGGGGGTGGTGAGAGGATTCACCAGAGACAGAGTGGGGAGCAGAACAGGAGGACTGACTGAAGCACACTGCTGAGGGGCGCAGCGGGAGCCAGGAGAGGGCTGCCGCGCCGTGTGGGTAGCCCCCTGGCTGGGGCTTGCCCTCAGGCTGCAGTGGTGCGGGCAGCTTCATGGGTTGTGTCTTAAGCCCTCGCGCCGCCAGAGAGGCCCGGGGCAAGGATTTTTACGCTGTACTCGCTGATGACTCTCCGTCGCCGGGAGGCCCGGCACTTAGGGGTGCTCGCGCGCGCGCCCCTGGAGGGCGGGGCGAGAGGGCGGGGCTTCGGCGGGCCCGGAGGGCGCTGGGGCGCGGCCCGTGGGGGGCGGCGGGAGGCCCGGCTAGGGGCGGGGTGGGTCCGAGTTAGGGAAGGTCAAGAGCAAACTGTCTGGAGCCGCGGGCAGCGAGGGGCACAGCGTTTGCCGGGGTCAGCGCGGGGCTGGGGCGGGTTTTTCCCGCGGCTGGGCGTTTTAGGGGCGGGGCCCAGTGTGTAGGCGGGTCCTTAGGGGCGTGGCCGAGATGGAGGATGGGCGGGGCTAGGGCGCGGGCACACGGGATTTGCAAGATGAAGGGCGGGGCGGGCTGGGGCGGGGCGGAGCCGGGCTGGGGAGGGGCGGAACCGGGCTGGGGCGGGGCGGAGCCGGGTTGGGGCGGAGCTAGGCGGGGGCGGGCCAGGCTGGGGTGGAGCCGGGCTCGGGGCAGGGCGGATCTGGGCGGGGCGGGCTGGGGCGGAGCCGGGCTGGGGGCGGGGCGGGCTGGGGCGGGGCGGATCCGGGCGGGGCAGGCCGGGTCGGAGCCGGGTTGGGGCGGAGCTAGGCGTGGGCGGGCCAGGCTGGGCGGAGCCGGGCTCGGGGCAGGGCGGATCTGGGCGGGGCCATGCGGGGGCGGAGCCGGGATGGGGGCGGAGCTATGCGGGGGCGGGGCGGGCTGGGGCGGAGCCGGGCTGGGGGTAGGGCGGATCTGGGCGGGGCCAGGCGGGGCGGAGCCGGGCTGGGGGCGGGGCGGAGCCGGGGCGGGGCGGAGCCGGGCTGGGGGCAGGGCGGGCCTGGGCGGGGCCAGTCGGGGGCGGGGCCAGGCGGGAGCTCCGCTGTCCCGGGTCCTGGAGCGCTCCCGCGGCAGGTCTCGCTCCGGCCGCGCAGGCCCCTCAGGCCCCTCCCGGCCAGCCCCGCCGCAGCGCGTGCAGGGTCAGACGCTCCAGGCTCGGCGGACGCGATCGCTCCCGCTTCAGGCGCTGCGATCCGGTCCCGGGGGACTCAGCTCTGCGCTGCCCCAGGTCTGCCTCCCTGGAGACTCCAAAGGTGCGGGTGAGCTGGGCTGCGGGGGGGCAGGGGGGCTGTGTGTGCATGCGTGTGTGCGCGCCTGTGTGTGTGTGCATGTGCGCATCTGAGTGTGCGGACGTCTGTGCACACCCGGGAATTGCATGCAACCCGTGGAGTTGGGTAGGTGCGTGCTCCAGGGACCTCAGTGTGTGTGCTAAGTTGCTTGCGTGTGCAAGTACAATCCCATGTGGGAGGGGAGTCGTGCTTGTGTGTGACAGACACTTCATGTGAAATTTGTCAAAGACTGTGTGTGTGTGTGTGTGTGTGAGTGTGAATGTGAGGGTATACTGGAGAAAAATGGGAGGGTGGATGCAACAATTCTTGGGGGAGTTATAGGGTCAGAAAGCCTGTGTGTAGCCGTGGGGCGTGTGGGTGACATGGATTATGGAAGTGTAAGAACTGTGAATGTGTATGTGCTTTCATGTGGGTGGAAGTGAGGGGTGTTTCTGGGAGCCCTTAGTGAGAAGGGACAGAGGAAAGTTTGGGGGTTCTGACTGCCTTTAGAAGGGTGAGGCTGGGGCAGAGAGTAATGAACAGGGCAGGGCTTTGGGGCCTGGCCTAAAGTAATTTGGGGTTCAGAGGGCACTGTGGAAGTGTGTGGATGGGGCCAGAGGGGGTTGGGACCCTTACAGGGGGCTAGGGGGCAGTGGACAGTTCTTGCCTCTGTGGAGAAGCTGCTACCTGGACTTCCCTGGTCCCCAGGCTGTGCTCTCTCCTGCCGGGTGGCTCCCGCTGGCTGCTGCGAGAACATGGTACAGAAGTATCAGTCTCCCGTGCGCATCTACAAGTACCCATTCGAGCTGGTCATGGCGGTGAGTGACCCTGATTCTCAGACCCTTGTGTGACATGACTGGAGGGATGTGGTGAGCTGGTGACGGCAGGAGGAGGAAGTCCCTCAGACCCTCGGATCAGAAGGAATTTTTCAACTACTCAGATGACTAGGGGGACAAGCTTCCAGCCAGGGGCCTCTCCACCCAGCCATCCCACCTGTCCCCATAAACAGGACCCTTGCCCACCCGCCAAATCACAGGCCGTTCCTCCTCGTCCTTGTTGAAGCGCACACCTGCTCTTTCATCCCAGGCCCCCCAGCCAGAAGGCGAGGCTTTCAGGGGCCAGGCCTCGGCTGTCATTCTGGGTGACGGTCATAACAATAATAGCGCAGAGAATGACGGCGGTGTTCACGGAGGGTTCACGGTGCCCTCGTCACATGTGCCTCACCCTATTTCCAATAGCTTACGATTCCCACTTTACCTCCACTAAACTGACAGCAGAAATGTGGCCCCAAGTTCTGTGGCTTGGAAGAGATAGAGATCCAGGGTCCTTCCATGCTCTCAATGCCCCCCCCCCACCCCAGAGCCTGGGACTAGGAGGGCAGAGGGTGTGGAAGCAGAGTCTCGACACAGTTATTTGCAGGGGAGTTGTGGACCGCCGCTGGGCCGCCAGTTGGCTGGAGGATTAGAACTGATGCTTTCTGCATCCGTGGGCTTGGCACCTTGTGGTTTCCTTCTTGGTGCCATCACACTGCCTCTTGGAACTCCCCTCCCTTCCTGGAAAACAGGGGCCGTACCATGGTGTCACGATAAGCGGTGGGTGGGATGATGCAGGGCGCCTTGGACTTAGTGCCAGGCACACAGTAGGCACTGTCTGAGTGCAGCTGTCCCTGTTATCACATGACGTGGTCTTATAAATGATCGGATTGAACATGTGAGAGCCCCCAGCATCCTCCCTGGCCCCCGGCTGCTTTCAGGTAGGGACATTCATGTCAGTTACCGTCTAGTCTCTCTACAAATCTCCACACCTGTGCTTTTAGTCGCCTAAAGGATTAAAATGCATCGTCCACACGTGTTGTGCTGTTCCATGTAGGTGGCTCCAGGTCAGGAAAGAGGCAGGAGCAGGTCTGGGGTGGGTTGGACTAGCTGGGTGACCTTGGGCCAGTGACCCGACCTCTCTGAGCCTTCACTCCCTATTTCTAAAACGGAGATCACATGGTTTCCAAATCCGGGCATCGTGCTGTGGATAAATGAGTCAGTATATGTAAAGTTCTGGCACAGATCAAGCGTCATTACTGAAATCGCTGCTGTTATTGCTGTCGCCTGTGGCTGTGTGACTTTCCTCATCTGTGATGGGGGGGCCGGACACAGGGGTGACGAACGGCCTGGGGTGTGCGGTCGGAAGAGCCGCGTCCCTTGCTCTGGCTGTGTCTTTGGAAGGTTACTGGAGTTCTCTGCCTGTGGGTGTCTACACTTGTGAATTGGGGGTGGTTCTATGCTCCTCATAAAGTTTTTATTTGTTCTGAGGATTGAAAGTGACGATATTGGTGGGGGTGCAGGGGTGCCGGCAAAAGGCTGCTCCATGCCAAGCAGACAATAATGGCAGCTAAATATAAATCCACTTAGGTCTCCACCCAAGACTCCAGGCAGCTCACCTATTCTAAGACCCTAGGACTCACCCACCCGTCTGTCTGTCCATCCGTCTGTCTGCCCACCCTCTCAGCAGAAGAGAGATGAGGTGCCTACCCCCGGGACCCATGATTTTCTGTCATGAAGCCCAGAGAAATGCCAATAGAACAGAAAACTGTTCTTATCACATGGGTTTAATGAAGGCAAATTTAATTGAACACGTGTAGGATTCAAACACATTATAATCACTGCACTTTAAAATAAAACCCGCCCGCTAGGGTCACCGAGGACTATACTTACAAGACCAGTAACTTCACCATGGCCTCTCTTGGGGTCTGTGAAGCAGGTGTGAACGCTGCCAGGTGCAGCAAGGAAGGCAGGCCTCAGTTTACCCCTTGTTCTTCCACCTGTGGGTGCTGATGTGCAGAGGCCAGTGGATACAGGAGGACAGGAAGCCTTGCAGGTATCTATCATCTGTGTCTGTGCCGACTATTTGTGCTTTTCAAAGGGAGAGTGTGACTGTCACCTGGCTATCCACACAGGCCTTGCAGTGAGAGGCCACAAACCCTGGCCGCTGCCGAAGCCACTTAGTTGACTGTTTACAAAACACCACTGTCCCCAAAATAGCTGCATAACTCCACATAACTTGCGCGCTGTGTGGGCACAGAAGGAGTTTTCTGCACTTAATGTCCGTCTTTGTCTCTCAGCTGCGCAGCCGCCCTCAGCTGGGGTCGGGCGCCAGGGGGATTTTGGGCAAACTCAGCCGTTTTCCCTGCATCCGAGCAGCCCACGAGCTGCCTTTTTTTTTTTTTTCCTGCTTCACAAACCGCCTTGAGGATCAAAGCGTCCCCGGCTGGCCACAGCGGATGACAGCAGTCGGGTTCGTGGAGTTAGCCATGAAAGGGCAGGAGGCCAGCTTTCCAGAGCCAGGCTCAGAATGATTTTTTGACTTATTTTTCCCTTTTGTCAAAAATGTAACCAGTCTAAAGGACGGACGAAGGATGGACACTCGCTCCTTGGGCCACGCCCCTGGGCATTGATTCTGTCACTGAGGGTGACATTCCAGAGGCCCTGCTTTCTTGCTCTTGCTAGCTTTCTGTATTGTTTGGCTCCAAACAATAGCCTTGTATTAACTTGGCAAAGAGAACAAGGATTCGGACAATGGGGCAGCAGCCTGTCCAAGCTTGGGGAGAGTCTCTGGTGCCCGTGGGTGGGGATCCGGAGGTGGGGGTTTGTGGTGGCCCCTGAGCGTAGGACACAGGCTGTCTCCTAGACTGTGCGCTGGGGTCACTCGAGAACTGAGGGTCACCCCAGACCTGAGGGTCACCCCGTGTTTTCAATGGCTTCTCAATGTCTGGGCTCCCCGCCCACCAGGTGGGACCCATCCCAGTTTCTCGCCCGGAGAATGGAGCTCATAAAGGGCCTGCTCCTGTGGTGTGGAGACGAGGACCTATCACTTCAGGTTATTATTATTACTCACTGTTTACAGCTCTATTGAGCTGTGACTCACATACCACACAACTCTCTCAGATAAAGGGTACGAGTCAGCGTGGTTTTTGTGTCCTACACCTTCCTTGTGCAACCATAAAATTGTATAGACATCTTTAGAATTTTTAAAATATATTTATTTATTTATGCATATAAGAACTAGGGTACAGGCCAGAGGTACAGGGGTGAGAGGATTCACCAGAGACAGAGTGGGGAGCAGAACAGGCAGATCCACTGAAATACACTGCTGCGGGGAAAGCAGGAAAGACAGGTGAGGTCTGCTGTGCCATGTGGGTAGCTCCCTGGCTGGCTGGGCATCGAACTCATGCTGCAGTGGCTGCAGATAGCTTCATAGGTTGCGTCTTAACACCTTGCACCACCAGGGAGGCCCATTAGAATATTTTATCACCCTAGAAAGAAATGTTGTGCCCTTAGATCATCCTCGAGTCTCCCCAACCCCTGTTTGCCCAACCATGAAGCTTTAACTCTATGTCTCATGTCTATGGATTATTCTGAACATTTCACAGCAAGGGAACCGAGGTGCATGCAGGTACTTCATTCCTTTTCACAGCTGAATACTATTCCACTGTGGGTAGACTGTATTTTGCTTATCCATTCATCAGTGGATGGACATTTAGGCTGTTGCCAGCTTTGGGCGGTGATGACTATGCCGCTGTGAACACACCGGCACAGGTTTACAGGTGGACGTGTTCCTTCCAAAGAAATTCCTGCTGTGAACGGCGGTGTTGACTCCTACAGCTTTAAGCAGGTTCTATTTAAAAGCAGATTCTACTTAAAATTTCATCTGACACACACGTACACAGAACTCACCCGGTCTCAGACTCTGTTCTGAGCACCTTTAATTATCAACTCACACTGCCACTGCCACCCCATAAGGTAGGTTCTGTGGGTCCCTAGTCTACAAAGGAGGTGACTGAGTCACAGAGGGGTGGAGACATTACCCAGGGACCCAGGGTGAGTGTCCGGCAGGGGGGAGGTGACTGCAGGCTGTGTTTGCACCTCCCCACCATCCTGTCTCTCAGCACTAGGATCTGCGGTTACGGGGAGACCAACTGAGTGGTTTGGAGCCAACTGAGTATCCCTGCAGGGCAGTTACCATCAGGACTGTGCCCGAGGGCCCTCATCCCCCAGGACGCCACAAATGGGAGCATGACCGGAGTCCACAGACCTTGGCTCACAGAGGGCAGGCGAGGCTGACAGAGGCCTGCAGCGTTTGCCGGACACCACGTGCCCAGCCCTTTAGGCTGGTGCAGGGACAGGCGCTTTTGTAACAGCCTCAGCCATAGCAGAGGGACCCGCAGAACTTCCAGGGCTAAGGAGACTGTCCCTTCGCCGCTGTGTGGGTCTGCTAGGGCTATGCTCACTGCCACAGTGTGGTGGCTCAGGACCACAGAGAAGCATGGCCAGGCAGCTCTGCAGGCCAGGTCTGCTTCAGGTGTCGGACAGGGCCGGGGTCTGCCGAGGGCACTGGGGACGCAGCCCTTCCAAGGCCTCTTTCTTCCTGCCTGGCTCCTGGCAGTTCCTGGGCTTGTGGTTGCAAGATCAGTCTTTAGGTGGCCTTGTCCCTGCATGTGTGCAAATGTCCCTGCTGGTGACACCAGTCTCTGGGATTACAAGTGCATTGATTACCTCTGTAAACCCCATTTCTAACTAGGGTGGCAATTGAAGGCATCTGGGGTTAGGACTCCCATATGCATTTTTTTTGAGGGGGAGGCACAAGTCTGCCCCTAACATTCAGCAAATGGCCGAGATTTGCACTTCAGACATTCCAGGTGCTGGTGCTGGCCTAGTCAACACTGAGCAAGAGGCCACAGGCTGCAGGGTGAGCTCCCCATAGGAAGCCCTGAGGTTCAGGTCATCTCCGATTCTGCAAACCTAAAGGAGGAAGACTGACGGGGTAGAAT